CTCTTTCACTTCTTTGTTCGTTCGGAACAATTGACATATTTTTTTTTGTATATTTATAAACGCATTTGTATTAACCTTCCCTTTAGTACTTTTAATAACGACTTATATAAATGACCTAACATGTCATAGAGTAAATTAACCTCAACATTATAAATTATATGTGGTATGTTTCACAAATTAATTTTGGGAGGGAGGGGGATCTTTCACATAAATAGTCGAACAAATTAAGAATAAAAAAAATAGTCGAATAAATTTATTGTTTTTTTTTTTCTAATAATCAATATATATTGATTATATATCTATGATTATACACATATTATATATAAATTATACATATATTATATATTCATCGGCTTTTTAGATCAATTCTTCATTATTTTTTTCTTAATTTTCGAATCTAGTCGAACATCGTTAAATTGTGAATAATATAATTGATGGAACTTCTAATCAAAGTAAAATATTATTCTTCATAGCTCTTGGGATCTTGCATGTGGAGTGTTCTAGAATACAACAACCTTGCTAAATTTGTTGTAGATAACGTCTATATCCTGTCAATATGTTATCTATGGCTAGGCCCAAAACAAACGAGAATGGTTTGGATCAAAATCATGATCGAACATGACATTTATTTGTTGAGCTTAGTTAAGAAATAAAGTTACATCCCAAAACAAACAAGGATGGTTGGGTCAAATACATGATCGAATATATATTACATCTTTACAATCAATACAATATTACTAATTCTTCCTCGAACATATGCATTGAGGGAAAAGAATATAAGAAACCTTCGAATATTCTTTCTAATTGCAAAATGTTTTCTTAGTAAGTTTTTTAATTTTAACATTCGACGAATAAAATCACAAAATTTTAATTTAAGAGCATAAAATTTTAGAATATTTTTTTAAATTTTGTGTCTAATCAAATTAAGTTGTATGTAGTACTAATTGTTAGTTAATAAGTCTAATATTGGTGTTGGTCCAAAGTCTATTTCTCCATCCCACATGTTTATATGTTTTAAACAACTTTTGGGCTCACATGCCGCAATGATGTTTCATTTTGATTTGTTCTAAAGGGCCCCCCATACCCACTCCCCCCTACCCCTCCCTGGCACCCCAACCTAAACACCTAGGTGTATGATTCGACCTATATTAGTCAGTGATTTTAATATAGATTCTGAACACCGGATGAAAAATAATTTTAGAAAACACTCTATATAATATTAATAATTTAGCAAATGAGTTAACAGGATTGATATTGTCATGTACCAAGAAAAAGGAATATACTTGTTAGTAAAAGAAAATAGAAAGAGTATGATGGTAAAAAAAGATAAATATTAGTAGTTTTTTCGCTATGATTATAACTGAGGACACTATTAAAATATAATTATTTGTAAATATTAATACTTGAAATTTATAACGTGGATGACATTAACGATGATGGCCGTTTATTTTTATATATAATATATGTCTTATAATAGAAGATTTATTTTACAAAAAGTATATATCTAAATGTCATTATTAATATAAATAGAATATTATCGTAAAAAATTAAAATATAACATAAAACGTTGCTATTATAAAGAAATAATGTTATAATAAAGATTTGACTAGATCTATTAATGATTCATTCAGTTTAACGAAAATAATATTTTAAAATTATGAAAGAATTTTCTTCATAATTAATTTAATTAGCAATATTCTTTAAAGTGAGCTGGGGCAGCTGTGTATAGTAGAAGATTCTTCTTCTTTTAATAATATAAACTTTGGTGCATTCATCTTCCCTTTCCCATAATCACGGACGTAACGTAGGGTAGAAAACTGGCTATGATCTGCCACGATTTTTTTTATCTGATGTTCGATATTCATATTATTCAAGGTTTGAATACGAAATCTCTAATTAAAAAAGAAAATATCTTAAATCATACCATCACAACTCATATTCAGGGACGAAGTTAGATAGGATCGAATTGAAGAGCTTCATTCAAACCCCTTTCAATAAAAAAATAATATTATAATTAACTTTTTTTTAATGTACATATATGTTGAACCCTCTTCAACTTATTCTTCTTATGTTTTACTCGTTTATACTTCGAATTTTTCTCAGTGAAAATACTAACTCTGTCGATGTTCATATTAGTACGATTTAATATATCAATCATGCATAATATAAAGACCAACCAAATACTACGTGAAAAGACTATATGTAAAACTTTTTCATTATTACGATTGCCCTTTCAAGAAATTAATCATGTCTATGCTCATGTAAAGTTTTTTAATTTTTTTCTTTTTTTTTTAATTTTAAAAAGTAAAAGTAGATGTAACAGGTAGAGGAGAATGAGGGTTGGATGACGGGGAGAAGATGTAGAGCTTGGTCATGCTTTATCTAGTTAGAAATCATTGGGATAAATACGTATCTGTATCGAAGTTCGGTTAAATTTAAATTCATCTGTTTCATAATGAAAGATAAAACGTTTCCTAATAGAAGTGCATCTTTTAACTAGGGAGACTCGATCCACAGACCTTTGATTAAGGGTATTGAAGGAGTATTTACCATTAATCAATATAGTAACTAACTATAATCTCATGTCCTTTTTTACTTACTCCCTCTGTCCTTATTTATTTGTTCACTTTTTTTTTATAGTTGTCTTTAATTACTATTTACTTGTCCATTTTGATAAATCAAGAAAGAACCAAAAAAAAATTCCTATTATACCCTCAATTAATTACTTTAAAAAAGGTAGAATTTTTTGCAAATATTAAATTTTTAATTCATCCACTTCATAATTAGTAGGGGTAAAATGGTAAACTCACAAGAGATAATTTATCATTTTTTTAAAATTTTTATCTAATTATTAACTATAATTAGATAAATAAAAATAAACTAAAAGAGTAGTAAATTAATCATTACAATATCTTATTAAGTACTAGTAAGTGCTTGATTACAATAATTTCTATAAGTGACTAGATTGTATTACTCCTTTGTTCCGGTTTATGTACTATATATATATAGTATAGTATAACACTATCTTCTTATTAGTTCATACATTTCAATATTTGAAAGCATCTAACTATAAACTTCTCATTCTATATAATCACACAAATAGCGATAGAATCAGAATTTAAAATTTATGTGACCAATAATGACCTCATATTAACATATACAATCAATAATAATTGCCATGGATCCACAATAACATATACATGAGATATATCTAAATATAAAAGATATTTGATTCACATGCACCTATGAACAATATTTTATATTCGTCATCGCACACATTGTTATGACATGCTTTGCAGGCCACGTACAAAAGTATTACAATATTTAAAATCACAATTTTTAAAATTAATACTGTTTTACTTAACGAAATTTGATGAGTTAACTATATTACATGAATTATAACTTTTTTTTTAAAACATCAATCTTGGCATAGAATTCAATTTTCTTTTAGCAAGAGACATAGTAACTAAGAATTGGCCAAAGGACAAAAGTTAGATAGAGATGTTTTTTTTTTTTTTTTTTTGTTTTTTTCTATAATAAGAAACAATAATCATAATTGCTAAAAACCAGATTATTATTATTATTATGTAAAAGGGGCCACCATGATTCAATAGAGTGTTTCATATGTCACAACATCCTTTCAAAAGGTTCTATAAATTAAATCTCCACAAATAAATAAATTTCTATTGGTTAATCATATCTATCAATTTTACTTTGCTTTTTTGCCCCCTCCCATTCCCCAAGATTTCACTATCATTGGAATTTTGAACTTAGAAATTATGATACACTCATTTTAACCCCTCAAATTTCCTAATATCTTCTACTCTCTTTGTCCGTATTTATTTTTATATGTTTGACTTGATACGCTTTTGTAATAAATAAATAATAATTTTATTATATTTTATTTTGTTTTTGAACTTCTATAAAATTCTATAGTGAAGAAAGGATGAATTTTTATTTAAAAAGTTTTTCATGTTTTAAGCGATCGAAGTCATTAGATTGAAGACACGTCTGTTTGTCTGAACGTCACGCATTATGTCACCTCTCGGCATGGCGCAAGATATCAGGAGGGGCGGAAGCTGGCCTCCCGTGCACCCTGAGCGCACGGCTGGCCATTTTAAATTTTGTTGTGGTTTGTGTTTAAAATTCAAAACCAAAGGAATAACCATTTAATCTTCCTCTATTATGTTTCAAAATAGAGTATTGATTGAAGTGTAATTGATGATTAGACACCTTTATAGGAATTAAAAACTTTCTTAATCCAAGAGTTAATTCGACATCATTATGAGGTCATATAAAACGACAAAATATGTTTCATGATTAATGGAACCTAACAAATTTAAAAAGCAATGAAAAATACCTCAATGATGATAGCAAGAACAAGCTAAGAAGATGATGATATAATGGAAGTTTTTTTTACCACGGATGGAAATATTTTCTGAAAAATATTTTTTTTTTTTTATTATGTTGGTAAAAGAATTTGAAAAATACTTTCATCAGGAAAATGACTTCTTTAGTGAAAATAGAGAAAATGAATTCTACAAATTAAATTTCACATTGACTGCGTCCTTCCACTCTCTAACACATCTCCTCTTCACCCTGACCACCCTTATAGCCCATCCCTACTACCCCATATTCTCCACTCCCACACTTCCACCTTCCATAGTATTTATCTATATTATTATATATAAATATTTTTATGATATTATTTTTATACTTACATATCAAACGCAGTAAAAGAAAAAGGCTAAGAACCCACTTATTTTTTTTAGAAAAATACATTTTCCTTTCTTACGAATAATTGACGATGTTTAAAATAACTATTATTTGCTATTCAATTGAAATCTCATAAGAAAAGAAAACTTTTAACGTGGGTCGGCGTATTGTAACACACCCTAAAATTCTGTCAATCATCATAAAGAAGTACTCCTAGTAAAATCTATGTCATACTAACATGTGCATACATCATAATGCTATACAATTAAACAAAATAAACCATATTAAACAAATAATCAAGATGAACAACGTCATCAATGAATTCTCCACATACTTGATCATAGTAAACATTGTCCATAACGTTAATCTAAGACTAAAAAACTAATTAATTAGGATCAATCAAATCATCTAAAGATGATTGAATTCTCATGTTGAAGAAGCTTGAACAATTCAATAATATAAATATCCACCAACATGAATGTTGTGAATAATTAGTACTACCACTATATATTCCCATCAAACAATAATCTTGAAATGTTCCTATCTTTTCTTGATTGTTCTTGATCTCCACCAAATGTCCCACATTGATCAAATCCACCAAGATTTGCACTAATTTGCTCATGATGGTTCATCCCCATTTCATCCAAATGAGATGGAATTGTACTAGTAAATGACTTATTAATTTGATCAAATGTGGAAGCATTTGTATTATTTGTAGCACCAACTATGCTATTATTTGTTGGCATTATTAATGTATCATGATTATTAATCATGCTAGAACTCAAAAAGTGTGGCATAAATTGAGAATTTTGAACCTTTTGTGTAGATGGCCTAAGAGTATAATTAAGAGGTCCCAAATTATCCATATGAGCTGATCTTTTCATGGCTGAGCTAGCGGTTGAGAAAAGATCAAAGCGACGAGTGTAGGCAGAACCTGTAAATGGTGTTGTTGGGATCCCAGTAAATTCTTGAACCATTTGTCGAAAATTTGTAGTGTCTGTGGTGAGGACAGTTGTTGGGGCACGCCTCGATGCCCTACTTCTTTTTCTTGGATTTTTTCCCATATTAGGTTGAACAATGGAGGGGTTTATTGGTATTGTAGGAGAATCATAGTATGGAGCTTGGTGATGATGATGATGAGGAGGAGGAGGAGGAAGATTTGGTGATATTGAGGATGTTAAGTTTCCAAAGTTGTTGAAATTATTGTTAGGGTGCTGATTAGATCTTGTAATGTCTTTAGGCCAAATAAGATCATTGTTGTATGGAACATTTGTTGAATCATGAAAATTGGAGTTGAAATTTTGTGTGTCATGAGGATTAAAGAGAGAGGGTTGTTGAGAATGAAATTGTGGTAATAATGGATGATCACTTGATGAGATTGAACCAAAATGGTTTGAAGAATTCAAGAAAGTTGATATTGGTGATGCTCCATGATGTACTGAATCATATTCTTGATCATCACCACTTGAAGATTGTACACTACCACTATTGCAAGAATCCATGTCTCCTATTAGAAAAAAAAAAGTTGAAAATTAGTTTGGTGAAAGAAAAGAAGAAATGGGATTCTTAAAAAGAGATTGATCTAAGAAAGGAATATGAAAAAGTGAGTTAAGAGGAAAGTTTTACACCTACCTTATATCTTGAAAGATCTACAAAATTAATAGTTAACTTAACAAACTTGTCCTTTGCCTCTTATTCATGGACCACTAGGTATTAAGGTTATTTTCACACACGTTTGATTAGAAAGAAAAGAAAAAATCAAACATGATGGTTGTTTATAGTGTAGAGATTTGAGAGTTGTTGGATCATATGTTTTCTTGTAAGATCTTGTATTAGGGTTTTGGAATAATGAAAGGAAAGAGAGGAGAAGAAAAGAGAGAAAAAGATTGTAAAGGCTTTAAGAAGGGTTCTAAAAGAGAGGCATACAAGGCAATAAAGCTTGGATCAATTTATGTTTTCCACTCACTCAAAAGAGAAACATGAAGCAATTACAAAGGAGAGGTGGGGGGTAGGGGGGGTGGGTGGGGTGGGGTGGGGGGTAGATGGGGTCTCCATTGGAAGGAAGCTTTGAGGGTAAGTGTGAAAATGAGAAAAAATGAAAACAAGAAAAGTGTCATGGAAATGAATGGAAGAAAAATATGTGCATACCATATTAAAAATATCTTTTGAGTAATTTTAATCAACCCGTGTCATTTTTGTATAAAGTTATCCTTTAGGGTAAAATGTGGATTTTAAACTAAAAATTATTTGATATATATAAATGTGACTCCAGTGTTTTAAAAGGTGGGGTGTGAGGTGAGGTATTTATACAGTACGGGGAGAGGTGTAAGCTTCGAGACACGGGGCGTAAGTCTCATGGATCTACGGGGCGTAGTCTCATGTATATTCAATTTTATAGTTTTGTTACTAATAAACTAAGCAAAAGTAAACCTTTCAATGATTTTACAAATAAATTTTTATAAATAACCTATAATATGTAGAAATTATATTTATTTGAGATAAGTATTAATAATCAATAATGAAGAAAAAAAGTATTATAATTACTATTTGAGAAATATCATTACACCAATAATAAAAAATATGATTTAAAGTAAAAAAGGTTTTAAAAAAAATTAAAAACTCCCAGGTCTACGTTTTTCATACCCAAGACTTACATTTTTATGCTTGAGGCTTACGCCTCAAATTTTAGAACTTATGCCTTAGGATCTACGTCTTTAATTTACACCCTAGAGCGTTTTTGATACGCCCCGCCTCGAGACTCACCTCAAAAACGTTTTTGAAAACACTGTGACTCTTTTTTTTAAAAAAATCAATAAAAGAAAATACATTAATTGAAACTAATGAATATATATATATATATATGATAGTAAGATAACTCACTTTGTTTTAGTTTATGTTTCTTACTCTTTACTTTTATTTTTTTTAAAAAGAATGTCACTTTCTATATTAACTCTTTAATCCAATATCTCATGTGACATATTTAAGATTACAAGATTCAAAACATATTTTGGTACATTATAAATCGTTATTAAGATCACAAGATTTGAAAATTTTCACTTGCTTTCTCAAACTCCATATTAAGTCTAAGAGGGATCAAATAAAAAGAGATGATCACTCAACCTCAGATAATTAGCCATTATATTCACTCTGTTTTGTTTTTTCTTCCAAAAGTTACTCAACCAATTTAGTTTTCATGGCCATTATTCCTATAAATAAAATTTTCAGTACCTATCTAATGACGTGACAACTCCAAATTTTTAGGAAAAAATTATCTTAAAAATTAAAATTAATATTTGAATTTATTTAGGACCCAATTTATCATAAACTTGACCAAATTCTTATTTCGATTTATCATCCACTTGAGATTTTAAAACTAAAATAAGCCGGGAGAGCTTGTAAATTAACTTTTTAATAAGTTCACTATATAAGAAATGTATTTAAGCTTTTATATCTTTTTTTATCTAAGAATTTTTAATTGTCACGTCATTAAATAAGTACCAAAAATTATGTTTCTAGAATTAATGATCACGGAAGCAAATTTGATAAAATTAAGTGATTTTTAAAAGAAAAATTAAATTAAATAATTATGATAATTAATTATCCAAATTTGAGTGACCATCAAAACTTCTAACTCAATAAAAAGGAGAGAATAAGCACAAAGCACATGTACCACGTAAAAGTGGTCACAATTAGCTTAACTAGTTGTAAGAGATACTCCCTCTATTTCATAGTGTGGCGTTTTTAGCTTTGCGAGGTATAAATTAAGGTAAATTTCTCAATTAGAGTAATTAATAATGGGACCTATTGATATAATGCATGATGTCCGCTGAAACATAGATTTTTTTTTTATCATTTCTTGTAGGACACACTCTTACATGTAGTTTCTATCTAGAAGGAAGGTCTCAGATGTATCTTCGGCATGAATTTGGAAAAAAAAAAAGAAGTTATAATTTTGATATGAGAAGTGAAATATTATCATATTCTAGCTAGTTTGTGTCTTATGGGAAATGCAAGTGTGATTATGGGCCTTTGGATTAGGCCCTTTATCGGTTTTCAACTTCTCATCCTTCTATGTACAGAAAAATGGGATTGATTTTCACATATATGGACTTTTAGGGGTTGATTTACATGAATTACATTGGAGACGAGTGATTTTGGACTTTTTACCTTGTTTATCCCACGTGCAAATCAAAACTTCAAATAATATTGAGGGTGTTTGGTCATGAAAATCATTTTTTTTAACTTCATTTGGAATTTTTTATGTTAGAGTTGGAGTTGTATTTGACTATTTCTTTTGCAAAGAATATTTAGAATTTAAACTTACTTTTCCTAAATATGAAGAAGAAATGGTTCTAGAAATTATGCTTCATCGAACCGTATTAGTAAAAAAAAACTTACTTGTAATATGTTAATGACCAATTTAACAACTTGGGTAAAGTAGTTGATGTTTTTATAAGGGCGGAATGACCTAGGAGGCCCCTATACTTGGCTCCGTTTGTCAGTTGAACCATTTTACTCATCACTTTGCCAAATGAACTCTTAAACTTGATGAAACTCTATTTTCTAAACCGCTTTGACCATTGACCGAGCTTATGTGACATTAAAATGGCTGAGTTGGACAAATGTGAGACCACACTCGTTTTAAAGCAAGTGAATGCAATATTTTTATTTAAAAATTATCAAAATTATAAGACATAATAATAATAATTTTTAAAAAAAAAATTCAAAACCTTTCTTCTTCAGCCCAACCCACCCTTTCTCTCTTCTTCTTCAGCCCCACCCCATCTTTTTTCTCTTCTTCAGCCCACCCCACCTCACCCCACCCCCACTCTTTCTCTCTTCTTCCTCAGCCCCACCCCATCTTTTTTTCTCTTCTTCTTCAGCCCCAGACACCCCCACCCCCACCCCCACCCCTACCCCTTTTCTATTCTTCTTCTTTGAGATACACCCCATCACTATAATCATCAAATATAAAATTAAAAAAGCTTTTGCAAGAAAACATATCATTCACCATTTTCATAAATTTAAGATCTATTGCTTGAATTTGCTCCTAAATACATTTTTCCCAACTTGAAGTTTTCTTGATTTTTTTTTATTAAATCAAAATAAATAGAACCTAAAACATGTGCAAGAGCTAATTACAATCTATAAATATGATTGAGAAAACTTTTGAGTGTGAAATATGAAGAAAGATGAAAATGATGGTTTTTTTTATTTTTGGGGTGAGGCATAAGCGTGGATGGGAATGAAGAAGATGAAGTAGGAAGGGGAAAGAGAGAGAAAATTGCACTTTTTATTTTTTAGTATTATTTACTTTTAAAATTTGATTTTTGATGTGTCATTGGAAAAATAATAATAATGACGTGTCATTAAAAAATGACATGGTATTTCATGTGTAAAAAGAGTGTAGTACACACGCACACATTAGATAGGAAAGGGGTTTAAAATAGTGTTTGAATGAGTTTAAGGGTCCATTTGGTAAAGTCATAAGTACAATGGTTCAACTTACAAACAGAGTCAAGTACAAGGGTCTCCCAGGTCATTCCGCCTTTTATAAGCTCAAAAAATTGATTATTCAAGTTGCATACATAGATGGATCATTCAAACATTATTATAAACTGTTATGATCTATGAAATTTGTGTTATGGCTATGTTTTCAACTATTTTATAAATGCAGACTATGTACTTAAGTACAACCTTAAAAGTAAGAGTCGACTGCTCATATGGTCATTCAACTAATGTAAATTGCGTATTAGAATTATCTTTTCCATATTTTATCGCAAAATAATGAATTTTTTGTAGTTGGCTTGATGAGACAAGCCGGCAGACCATGCAGAAGAAAAGCATTTCCTACAAACAAACATGCAGGCCTAGTTTTATGAAATTCAATTTGAAAAGCTTAATAAAGAGCCATATGTTCTAAAATTATGTCTATACCCAATGTAACAAATGCAAGATTGTAAGAAAAATAAATCAGTAAAATACAAAACAAGTGCAACAACAAATAGTAATACATGTTGAACCAACATAGGTTGTGGTGCAGTGGTGGGACTACTCCACCCTTAATCAAAGGTCTCGAGTTCGAGCTCTGGATAGGGAGAAAATCATGTTAAGAGTGTCACTCCTGAATGGACCCTACAGTACGCATACTCATGAATACTATCAATACTCTCAATAGTGTAGCTTTTGAGAAACCAAACATATGTGCCCTTAGTTCGAAATAAATAATATCACATCATGTTAAAAATACCTATCTGTGAAATCCGAGCACGTATAATATTAAAGAAAATACACCCACTATAGAATATATTCACTCATATTATATGAAAAATAAATTTTTTTTAAAAAAACAAAAAAACAGGCATATCATTAAGGAAATATCTTGATTTCTTTGTTTTTATATATTTGATTTTTGTCAGTTGACCCTTCTATATATTATATATAAAGTCTCCTATTTTATATCTTTTCAGTAATTAGTTGAGAATTTGAGATCAGTAGTTAGCTTCTATTTTCTTGAAAACCTCTGTTAAGAAACTATTGAAATGGAAAATACTAGAAAAAGTGGTCAATCAACCATGTCAAAAATTGCAGATAATTCAGTACTAAATGGATTAGGTTGTGGTCTAATAGGTGCTTTTTTTCCAAGAAGAAATACTAACACAAAAATCAACATTACAACCAAGTCCAGTGACACCAATGTTGTCAAGAATTCAAGAAGATGTCACACCAGCACTTGTCCGAAGAATTCGATTTCTAGTAAGAACAAAGTGTCACAAGTTGTGAACTTGGCATACACACAAAAACTTAGAAGAGAACCAACATTCACCTCGAGTGAATTGAGCATGACAATCTTTAGTCATCGGAAATCCAA